TTGCAGGCGTATGGCAAAGGAAAGAAGGCAATGCTAGAAGATGAGTCACAGTCTTACATTTTGAAAGCAAGAAGGTGTAAAATCAGAGGCATGATTAGATAAAACTTTTCCTTTTGAATTGCATCCATGATCTTGCTGGCTACATACTCTGCCTCGTAAACAGGAAGTAAAAGGTGGTTTCTGGTGAAACAAGAAACAAAGCGTTATGAAATTATGAAACTTTACTTTTGAGATGTATTCTAACACAGAAATAATTTAATTAACTCGTTTAAGAATTTCCCCCCTTTCCCTCAAGTATTCTTGAAAAGGACTCTCCAGTCTTCTTTGTTCCTGCTATCATCAAAATAAATTGAAAACACTTTGGTGATGTTGTGAATTTTAATGACTTTTGTGCAAGCCTTGCTCCGACCCTAATGAAGTTAATGCCCCCAGTGACTGCGGCATCAAAAACTTCCAAGCTAAGCCATACTATATGCTGTTCTATGCATAATAGTTCTGCCCTCCACACACCTCCTTTTCTACTGTAGACGTTGAGGTGACAGCTAAATAGACCAGGACCAGGCCTGTTTCCAGCCAGGAGAAAGGCTGTGCTCTGGATAATGTACGCTACTACAGGATGATGAATGGTGGAAGCAGGAACAGAGCACTGAAAAACCAAGACCAGTGGTATTGCACTACTGCAATGGCTAATTTGGTGCCTGTAGCCTCTACTATCACTACAACAATACAGCAACCCACCAGATACTACCACCACAACTGTTCTCACTCAGATAAGTATAGTACCTGCTAATACAGTTAATAACGATAGGTCACGGGTATCCTGACAGCCATAACTGTAATCACTGCGCCAAAAGTACTTGGGGCAGAGAACCTCAACAGTGCCCATTCTACTGACAAATAAGGTTGCCTTAAATCCTGCTGTACGTCCCTAACCATTCCTTGACTGTGAGGTTATTACACAGTTCCTGTTGCATGTCAATTATTAATTGTATGCAAAGCTTGGATTTCTTATGTCAAGAGACATAGTTGTATGTGCCAATAGGGCAAAAACACTGAATTGAAAAGCAAACGAATGTTATACTAGCTAGAGACTGAATATGGCATATCTAGTGAGTAGTGATTATTTTTTACATATGAAATAGTACATAATCTAAGTTTTACTTACGGGGTTTGAACACCTTTAGCTAATTCAGTATTAACAATAGAAAGGCAAATGATTGTGGTTTTAATGCCTTGTTTTCCTGCATGATACAGTTCCGAATCTAAGGCTTCCATCATTCCAATGATTGCACACTTACTTGCAGTATAATCTGAAAAGTGAAGAAAGAAGAAATATCCAAAATATGTCAAAAGCACCACAGTAAGTGTTATATACAGAATTTAATGTTTTGTGATACTATTTAAGCCCTGATATTACTTAGTTATGTAATTAGCGGTCTTGTAATTAGTATTTTAAGGATGCTCTGCATGTTGGCGATGCTAACTCTAAAGGTTAATGGCTCTTCCCATGATTGATACACAGTTGTCTAAGGATAAGATTAATCCTTTCCAGAGGACTTTTTTTCAGTGAACTATAGAGAAATATAGGAAGATGAGCTTATTCAACATTTTATGTGCATTTCCAGATACTCATATACAAGCCAGGCATTCTTTCAGTTCAGAACGTCTTCACCCTTTAATATCACAGCTTACATTTCAGTAAGAACTATTTCTAGTTGTAGAATCTAAATACCCTACTTATAAATGCTGCTTCAACTTATTACTTCTTCTTCTGATTTACCCTGCAACTACAACACCATTTTGTTTGCCCGGGAAGACTGAATCTTGTCTGATTTTTATTGTTTGATGAATGTATGGAACTCCATCCTTGGACACAGTAAAAATTTGCCCTCACAAGGCCCTGTGCAACCTCATCTAAGTTGGGCCTGCTTTTATTTGGGGTTATGGACCAAATGACCTCCAGAGATTACTTCCAACCTAAATTATTCTACAGTTTTGCAACTGTAAGAACCTTATTTTAATATAGGAACTTACATGTGGTTTCCTAAGGCTTTTTCAAATGTGGGTGAAAATAGTTGTTACATATAACGAAATCCAATTTTGCTAAAAGAGTAACTTCAAAAAGTGGCGTCAGAGCCAGTTTGGTATTCTTCAGGGATTCACCCATAGTGGGTGACAGAACCATACAACCTAAAAATGCATAGCAATGGTGTAAAAAGTTATCATGGGTGGATGCCAGTCCACTCTCACAAGCCTTACAGTTAAATGATGAAAGCCGGACGTGACCTATTATCAATACTGAATCTGACCCAGCGATGACCCAGGTGGCAAATAAACACTACAGTAACACCATCAATCAGCAGAAGAAACAAGAGATGCTTATCACACTGAAGTTCACAGTCTCATAGGGTGACCTAAGAGATACGATCAGGATGTCAGAGAGGCTGGAGGAGAGACCGGGCAGCAGACCCAGGCTGATGAAATAGTCAGGACTGTAGCAGACAGCTCTCCTGAGGGAAACAGCTGAGAATATGGAGCTGTTAAATAGCTTAAGCCACAGTTCATTCACATTAATGTTAATGAAAATTCTGCCAAAACGCCTTCTGGACCTGAAACCCATTTTCCAACTAGGTATATAGTTCCAGGTGTAAGCCACATATGTCTCAGGACTCTGAATATTTGTCTGCAGAAAAACTGTCATGAGAAAGTGTTAGACAACCTGCGTGCAGGGCTGCCTCCCACTGCACACATACGAGCTGCGTTGTCCTTCTTCTGTGGAGATAAGACAGGCTGCAGTCAGACAGTAAAATCTGCAGTGAGCTCCCTGTGCCACTCAGGCAACGTGCCACCATCATCCTCTTCAATACACCACCACCTTTTGTATCTGCAGGCTCTTCCTGAATGTTCAATATGTCAGTATAAACTGCTTAAGCATTCATTTATGAGATTTCCAAGAAAAGTTATTAGCATGTAGGTCTAATTTGTAATGGCACTTGACAATACTAACCTGACATTCTGTAGGTTCCCAACAATGCTGCTACACTGGCTATGCTAACCAGGTGTCCACGGTTACAGGTCATCATGGCTGGAAGAAAGGCCTTGCAAGTCTAAGAGACATATAAAAAAACTCCTTTGTAACTAGACATGGCAAAAATGTTGCATTCCAAATTAGGCTTTACAACCTGATTTGCTTTCTGGGGCTTCAATATACAGAAAGCCAACTGACCTTCTACCTCTGTAAGAATTTATAAATGAGAGACAGCATTTCTTTGAATGGCCGCCCTCTCTCTGAAGGTCTGTCAGCATTAAAATCGTGTTATTAAAAGCAGCAAAGTTTGTATTTTCTCTGCCTCCTGGTTCCTCACGGTTTGAGTCCTCTGACTATTACCAAAGATTCAGTACACAAGAGGGAGCTAGAAGTCAACACATCAAGGGCAGCTCAGCTGTCTATGGGCCCTGTTTGTTACAAACCGAACTGCCTAACAACTCCAGCACCCCAGACCACCACTGTGGGTGATACTAACTATATATGGAGGATGCTAGTGTTTTATGAGGGGGAAGAATAGAAAAAAGACAAGAGCAGTAAGAAAACTTTTTCAATAGCTGAGATGTCCTGCAATGCCTATTTGACTCCAGATGTGTGTGCCGAGTACATGGTTTTTTGGTTGAGGGCCCGCAGTCACTGTCCTCCTGCCCTATGTCTCTCCAGACCTGTCAGGAGGAACATCTCTCCCAGTCCCTTTGCCTTAAGTATTTGGAAGAATGATTCACTGTGGTTTGGGAAATGATTAGAGGACTTCTATCTGCAATGATTTTCCACTGAGAAATGCCATTTAGTGAGGGAGTTGCAATGCTACGTTTTCCCTGATGCAGGCTGCTCACTTAGGCATATAAAAAACAAATGCAAGAGGGGGCAAGGGTAAAACTCCCTCACAACAAAACCTTCTAAAGGTCAACTGAGACCCCAAATAACAGCAAATTCCTTCAGGGGTATGAAAACAAAGCAAAAATAATACATACTATCAGATTAGTTTTCTATGTACATTAAGCACATGGTGACTAGGAATAAAAGCACAGCCTGAAGACTGACGCCAACACATGCAGCATAGATTCGTAGAATCATTTAGGTTGGAAAAGACCTTTTAAGATCATCAAGTCCAACCATAAACCTAACACTAAGTCTACCACTAAACCATGGTGTGAATGCTACAAGTCTATTAGGCAAATCTTTCTGAGGCCAGCAAACATCAGGAGCAGGAAAGTTACATGTCATTATGTTAGCACTAACTTCAGCCACAGCTGTTACAGACAGAGCATGTTTCACAATACGGTTGCACAAACTTTTGGTTTACCAGAGTGCCCAGGCAGGCTTATGTTAACATTACTGAGACATAGTGGGGAGACTGTCCATTTGGTGTGTCTCCAATTATAGGATGATTAAAAAAAATGTATTTTCCCCCATTCAAGGCCCTTCCCATCCCTATTCCAAACTGCATTCCCCAGGTAGGTGCCACCATGGTGATTCTCACACTAAAATACTTGCCTGTACCTTTCGGTCACCCAGGAGAGAAAAAAAAGTACATTACCCAGACTTGAGAAAGGAAGTTGACTCTTAAAGTCTTTTCAAAATCTGCATCTGGAGTGTCACAAAACTTTTTCCCAATTAGTATGCCAGCATTGTTGATAAGAATAGTAACATCCCCAACTTCTTTTCTAACCTGAATAAAAAGAGGATAAACAGAAAGCTTTAGAAGGTATCCTTGCCTCTTGTGCTTCATTTATGAAAATGGTTAGTGATATTTGCAATTATTTATATCTCTACTGGAAATGTAAGTACGTAAGAACTGTTGTACTGCATCAGATCAAAGGGTTATCGGCCATCTAGCACCATAGACCTTGTCTCACGGTGGAAAGCAGTGAAAAAAGGACCAGGACTCTAAGGTCTCCTCCAGCGTACTCAACTTTTTACACTCTGCAGCTTAGGATCTTCCTGAGACACATAAGGTATCTATATCTTTGTATTTAACATATCCCGATGATTTTTTTTTTTCCCTAAGAATTTGTTTAATTGTTTTCTGAACTCCAGAATACTTTTGGTTTCCACAGGAACCTAAGGTAATCAATTACAAAGCTTTAGTGTGCACTGTGAGCATGCTTTAATTGCAACCTGAACGTTTCTTGTCCCCTGTTTCTGGTATTGTGAGAATTTATCTTCCTCAGCCAAGCCTATTCAACCCCTTTTCCGTATAATTTCGACTGAACAGGAAAGAATTCAGCGCAGATCACTGGCAGATAGCAATCCTCTGAGTACAGAAGCATGTACCATGAAATAGATAGAGAACATCACTTGGAGAGAAGGCCAAAATCACAATTAACTCCATTTGGGTTTGTTATAAAAAAGATTTTATTCCATGATTTGGATTTATATCAAAGCAGATGGCCAAGATTTACTTATAGTATTAAGAATCTGGCTCACTGCAGAGATTTCTGTGCTAGAGGCAAATGGTTATTTGGTGTCTCAAAAATTATGGAATGACTACAAAAACATAAAAATCCCAGATATGCTGCTGTTCGGCAATTTGGAAATAGGTGCTTGGATCTGATGCCCCAACATTTGACCTTGCTTTGGCTCTTTCATGGAACCTTGGTGTTCAGTGAAGACTGGTTTGATGCTCCTCCAGCTGTGTCAAGCTTTCTCCTTGTCATAGACAAGCAGGGCTCGCATACTAGCACCTTTCCATCTCCACAAATGAATGCAAATCTAGACACTGCTGAGTATGGCAGGATTACCCAGTCCTTCCTTTGTGGGATATATCTGTACTTTCTCCCCACTCATACATTTTAACTACTGTGTCAGTCCATAGGACGATCCTCTTTTTCTTCACATGACAACAGAGCTTCCCCAACAGTAGCATTTTATTTAATCCAGCTTCATTTGACCTGTTTAATCACTACCCCAGAAAATGTGGGAAGCCTGACTTCCATTTACAAAAAGTCAAGCTGATTATTCATTATTATGTATTTCTTTAGGTGTCTATTAATTCTTCTCTTTATTATCGTTTCTACTCATTTTCTGTAATACAGGTTTGTAGCTTCTTTGAGTCCTCTCAAGTGCTCTTTAAAACTGGCATATTTGCTACTCTTTGTTCCTTGGACATCTGTCACAGCAAAACACCCCCCACGCATTTCTAGCTCATCAGATCCATATCTGATTTCCTTCAGCATTCCCAGGTGGACACTGCCTGATCAGTGTCACTTCACCAGTTTACTCTAAAACCTCTTCTTTATGGACTTTGATGATCTTATTTGCTTCCTAGAAAGAAAGGTTCCACTATGGGAAGATACCTAGGGTTTTCTGCAGTGAACATTCCAAACGAAAGCAATTAATTTAACTTTTCTGCTATTGCTTTATCTTCTGTGTCCAAGCTCAAGCCTTTTCATATTACCCATCAAAAAGTCACAGGTATTTCCAAGAGTAGAGGAGGACCCTGGCTGGAAAACTCTTGCTCTAAAAAAATTTTGGGCTCCTACATGACTGTTCAATTCATGCAAATACCTGCAAAGATGTTGGTAGAGTTAACAATAATTTGACACCTTAACACCAATTCCTGAATTTGAAACAGCTCTCTGAGTTTCTGCTTGTAGGTCAGCCTGTGCACTTCAGAATACTCTCCTGATGTGGGCACAGCAAATTCGGCAGGCTGGAGCCCCGTGGCTGATTCAGTTAATGTGTTTGGAGATTGAGAATTACCTGAGTGCACAAAACAAACCTTTGAGACTCTGCTAAACTAAGAACAAACAAATCATTTCAAAGCATTCAGCGTCAACAGGAATGTCTAACAGAGAAATTACTTGCAAAAGCTTAAATTAATCATTTTGGTGCACGTCTTTGCAAGAAGCAGATAGCATTTATGGGAATAGGGATTTAATGACAATTTAAAATGTTATTTTTTAGAGACATTTGATCTTGGTAAATTCTAAAGTGAGTTTTTTTTCTTGCAAAAAGAGGATTTTAGAAGAATTGCCATTTGATTTATAATATCATTGCAAATAAAGTGTTATATTTGAAGTACTGACCACAAGTTGCTCAGACTGATTTTTCATCTTGCTGGGAAGTGATATTACGTATTAACACTGTTGAAATTACTGGGATTCTTAGTCCAAAATTGCAGGAGTCGTAATCAATGTCTTACACAGTGAGGATCACATCATCTGTACTGCCCGAGTAATTGGCAAAGATCGTCCTCCTTGAACACTGCGTGTTGGGTCAGTACAGAACACTCAACAACTTGCTCATCTCTGCAGACATCCTATTATAATACAATATACCCTTGCCTGCACTGTCCAAGTAATACTATGATACCACTCGTGGTTCTTAACATCTACAACCAATGACCCTAAATGGAAATTTTTTTCTGTGCGCTGTTAGTTGGCTGTGCCCGAAATGCCGCTAACATGTACGGGTAAAATAATACCTTGTTGACTGCAAGCATGAGAATTGCGGTTCCAGATACTTACAGATACTGAAACCAACTTACCCTTTAGAAGTGCTTTTCATTGGGAGCATTTCTGGAGGAAAAACACTTATTTATTTCAAACTTTCCTAGCCACGTTCAGAAGGAATTAATCTGTTTTGGTTAAAATTAAAAGCAACAACCACAAAGCTCATAGAAAATTAATGTTACATTTCAAGGCTATTCCAAAACAATCTATCAACATTCACGTGTCATGAACTATTTTAGCTAATTTCTCTGATGTATGTCTTTGGAGATAGAATGTCTAAGATGTGACTTGAGAGTAATATATATAAGTACATATATGAAAATTTAACAAAAGAAGAATTTATCCTTGGATGAAATGGCAGAGTGGGTAACTGGATTATAAGTGAGGTTATACTGGGGAATATTTTCAGGCAGTACATAGTTTAAGGACAAGTAAGAATTAATAATGTTAATTTAATGTCCAATTTCTGGACTCCGATAATAATAATAATAAAAAGTAATAGTTTACAAAGCATAGGTCAGCACAGCAGAAGAATCTCCTTTAAAATGGAGTCCTCTACCTTACTTTCCAGCTGGACTGACCAAAAAATAAACTGAAGCTGAATCATCAATTTGACTGGAGACCAGCCATACCCTGATGATATTTCTGAAACCATTACACATCATATCACCCTTACAGAACTACAGTTTTCTAAACAAATGGACGAAGAAAAGCCCCTCCCTCCCCATTTCCACTGTTTTTTAAAGTTTTTTTATTTCTTGATATCTTAAAGAAATTTTAAAGGCTAAACAAGCTAATACATGGAGCTAACCTCTGCTGTATGTTTTACCATAATCCTAATCTAAAAGAAGTTACCATCTCATAACGAAGACTGGAAATGGATAAATCTTGACAGAACAGATTAAACCTAGTTACTTTATTGCAAGCTAGTTCAAGTTCCATCTAGAAGCTACTTGTCAAAAAGAGAAAGTTATTGCCCTACATGATTACTTCCCTCTAGTGAATAGTACAGTTGCTAAAAAAAATTTCAAGAGCATATGCTACTAAAAAGAAACAAAAAATCAGAAGCAAGAAGCCAAATCAGAAGCCAGAAGCTGTATCTTACCTTGTCTGCCTGTTCATAGACCTCCTGCCTGTTGCTGCAGTCACAGTGGTAGGCAAACACTCGTTGAGCTCCAATTTTTCCAGCTAATCTGCTTGTTTCTTTGTTACCTTCATCATCAATGTCCCAAAGAACCAAGGTTGCTCCCAAAGGAGCAAACTTCAAGGCAATCTGCCTTCCAATCCCATTTGCGGAGCCAGTAATAAGCATTATTACCCCAGCAAAAGTTTTTTTGCACGGAGGAAATATGAATAAGATGAAATTGTCAAAAAATAAAAAAAATAATAATTTCAGGAGCTGTAGTAGCTTCAGGATGCTTCTGAAGTTGAACATGATTTTTCAGGCACAAACACCGCTTTTCTGTTATACAAACCCAGAAATACAATATGTTACTGGCCTTTCAAAACACTGATATTGACTAAAAAAAGAGATTGACTTTCAAACTGCTATTTCTTTCACATTGTCTTTTTGTGCAGGTACAAAATACATTACTAAAGTCTTGTTTTGTGAAAGCTGCCAGCTTCTTACTAGTAGGATTAAAGCAAATATCTTCTGCTGGATCCTACATACCTGCTGTTTTGTTCCAGAGTCCTCAGCTTCCACATAGGTTTTTAAAAAGGTTTAGTAACATACATTTTTTATACATATATGCTGTGACAATGGCTATAGAGTACTTTGTTTTCATAGCAAGATAATATTAGCTGAACAAAAAAGTACTGAAAACACTGGCATGATATCAACCTTAGAAAACAAAGTGTCCTCCTTAGCAGAAAATGTGATCTGCTGTTTCAGAAAGCAGGCAATAAGAACATATCCACATTGTGTATATTTTCCAATGCCATGTGGCCAAAATCACAGAGCATATTTTCATTTGTGAGCAAATCACCAACCACACAGAAAAGCATGGCCCTGTGAGTTATGATCCTTGATTTTTATCCTGCATTTAGACCATATCATTTCCTTCACAGTATATTGGATGGGAACTGCGAGGCTCAGAAGGAGCACCCACCCCACTCCGGTCTCCTTGCGGCGGTGGTCCCCTTGCCACCTCCCTCCGGTCCTGCCCCAGCAGGGTTGAGCATCCCCTCCCTCTGCAGGCTGCCCCCCACACCCGGCCCCCGGCCCCCGCAGCCCGCGGGGCCCCCCCGGCCCCCCCCCGGGGGGGGCCGGGC